GCTTCTCTCCCTGTATGTGTGTCTGTCTCTGGAGAGCAAGCTGGGGTATGTGAAAAGACGAATTCCTAGAAATTGCATATGGCTAATAAAGTGATCTGATCTTCCAGTTGTACAAATTAATCCTTATATAATTTTTGCACACTGCAACCTACCAAATTAAGATATGCAATCAGTACTGGCACCCTATGACTGTACTTGACACTTTAAAACAGATTCCACAAGATCAGATCTTCATCTGAACAAAGGAATCTTAAAAACCTGCCACACACAAAGACCTCTAGAATATCTGTTGATACCTTTGCAGTGACAAATTCTGTTGCAACTGTGGATGAGTACAAATGTAGATCTTTTCAAGCAGTAGTACTTCCAATGAGAATAAAATGTTGCTTTCTCTTTTAGACCCATTTCCACCCATCAGATCAACTGTCATCATCCATTCAACAGCTTTCATTAGGCCAAGCTGCCCCCATTTCTACAGCGAGCTTTGCAAGATTTTAACAGTTTGTCTCATTCTTAGACTCTGTTGCATCAAATTAAGTAATTTATCCAGCTGTAACTAACCACTAATAATTGTTGAGCTCATTAAATCCAAGGGTTAATTGGGGTGTTTTAAATAAAATATTACATTTGAAACATTTACAGAAACAGTTCTGTATGTGTCACTACCACGGAAAAAACACCATGAGAAATACCATGAAAAAGCACCGTGTGATTTTAAACAGCTTTGACTGCTTTTAAAACAAACGATTTTACAAAAACACCTGTTTATTTTACAAACCACTGTCTGTATAGTTGCCTGTATAACCAGTCTGTGAAGTGTGGCCAATTTGGCTAGTGTCATGGGGAGATATGTTTGATTGACTGAATGCACCTCATGTATGAGGTTAAAGCCATCTGTTGTATTTTTTTTAGCAATAAGTAATGCAGCAGATGATTGTGTAGAACTGGAACAGCTTGACCGAATTTTGGGAGTTATTTGTAGAGCACCTGGAGTATAGCCACAGGTCTAGAAATAGTTTTAAAAGGGACAGATCTAGTGAATTTGCACTACAAAAGTTATAATACACTTCAATCATTACTAAAGATATAGAAGCACAGATAGGTGTTGGGGAACTGTCCACAAATATGGAAAACAAAGCCTGATTAATTAAAAGATAAAACCGAGTGGACATTCAATGGCATCTTAGTTGGTGCCAGTAATCAATTTGCATGCTTCTTGCTTCTCATTATATTAAAAAAATAAAGCCTCCAACTGCTACAACCTTATCTTAAGTAAACATACCTATAGGTGACAGGGGTACTTACCATGCTGCGATCTTAGGAAAGAGTGGTGTTAGTAATTCCTGGGTGATAAAAAACCAGACTGCCCCTATAATGCTGCCAGCAACTCCACCATATATAACCTGACTCCAGGAATGGTACAACAGATACACTCTGAAAAAAATGAAAAATAACAAAAAATTAAATTGGAGAATCTAAAACAACTAAACTATTTTAGCCATTCCTAAGTTTCAATACCTAAATTTACAATTCTTCTGTGTCCGTGCAATCCGCATAAAAAAATCTCAGAGTCAATAACCTAGCTCTGTGCTGCTACATTTTGGCAAGATACCATGAGCTGAGGAATTGATAAATGCATATACATATTTCTGGACACTCCACTCAAAGCGCTTTACAGGTAATGGGGACTCCCCTCCACCACCACCAATGTGCAGCCCAACATGGATGATGCGACGGCAGCCATAGTGCGCCAGAACGCTCACCACACACCAGCTTATCAGTGGGGAGGAGAGCAGAGTAATGAAGCCAACTCATAGATGGGGATTATTAGGAGGCCATGATTGGTAAGGGCCAATGGGAAATTTGGCCAGGACGCCGGGGTAACACCCCTACTCTTTTCAAGAAGCGCCCTGGGATTTTTAATGACCACAGAGAGTCAGGACCTCGGTTTTACGTCTCATCCGAAGGACGGCGCCTGTTTACAGTATAGTGTCTCCATCACTATACTGGGTCATTAGGACCCACATGAACTGCAGGGTGAGCGCTCCCTGCTGGCCCCACTAACACCTCTTCCAGCAGCACCCTTAGTTTTTCCCAGGAGGTCTCCCATTAAGGTACTGACCAGGCTCACACCTGCTTAGCTTCAGTGGGTTGCCAGTTGTGAGTTGCAGAGTGATAGTGAAATTAAAATCTTAATTTTATAACTACAATTTCAATGGCTTCATCACACCAGATTGGCTCAAAACTGTAAAAGGACATAGCATGACCCTGAAAATTACAAGCCCTTAAAATGCAATATTTAAAATATTATACAAATAATAATGTCAGATGTTTTATATTTTTTAGTATAATACATTTATAAGGCACTTTTCATAAATCACCTCAAACAAGTACAGTAAAATACAACTGAACATATGCAACCCAATTAATAATCATCAAATCAGACATGATTTTGTACACATGAAGCACATGTACTACAGTTGTGTAATCAGACATTCCTGGGTTATCCCAGTATAAACTACCTTTAACAAGTACTGTATCCAATGGTTATAAATACATATTTAAAGAAATCAAATCAGACAAAATTCTATATAACGTTGGCAAGCTATGTTTTAAGTGAAGAATCTGTTATTTGTAATTCTTGATCATTACTGTTTGTGCATCTAAGAGTCATGTGAAAACAGCTGTAGCACAAAGGATTTCAAAACTAATACCAGAGTGAAGTTTTATATTTCTGTATCAGTCATAAGATAACATTTTTGGATAAACAAAAAATGGTATCTTATGTATGATACAGTAATATATAATCAGTAAATTGCCTGAAATAATTATGCATAGTGAAATAACTGTCAAAAACCATGAATACACAACAATCAAATGTTGTTACTAAACAGGGTATCATGCACAAGGTGCATTCATTGTACTCAGTTGTCATTGTTATAAAGCATTTGAACCTTTAGACTTTTTAGTATGTTAGAACACAAATAAAAGTGTCAGTCACCAAGTGAAAAAAAATACTTTTATTTATCAATCATCCACCTAACTGCAATATTTGTAAAAAAGAATGTCTTGTCAGAAATTAAGTCACTGAAAAATACCCTACACTTAAGGAAAAACAAAACCCTTAACTAAATAAAATAATACTGTCCTGAAAGAGATCACTGCCTTAATCTCAGATGTGTGGTGGTGATTTTCAGGTTTACAGCCCATGTACAACTGAAACTTGATTATAAACTATTTAACTGAAAACTGTAATTTTTGTATTTATAGATGCATTTTTGCTTCAGCATCAGTATACACACAGATATGAATTGGCCTTTAAAGCATTCACATATCTGACTTGGAAGTGCAAGCATACGCATTAGGTCAAGCTACCGGAAATGTTCTGTCTGTTGCATTACATGCTTAGCATTTTGTCATGCTTATTCCATCTCTGGAGTCCAACCTACTTATAAAGAGAGGTTTATCAAGGATTTGTACCTGCTGTAGGAGACAGACAAGGCCACAGTTAGCAAGCAGATAGACAGGATGTGTCTCCAAAGCAGTTCCAGGCATCTGGCATTGTTAGTTTGATGCATTCTATGAAAACAAAAGGAAAAACATTTAATTTACAATCAGCAAAGGTATTTCCTTACAGCTGATAAAATAACCATTCCAGGACATACGAATTTTGAAAATAATACTTCCGACGATGTCCTACACCAGGGTTCAGCAACCTGAGGCACAGATGCGATTACCACCACGAAAAAAGATTTTCTAATGGCACGTGCAATGAAAGTCTAATAAACCACATGGAAATTAAATTAAAAAAAA